CCAAATTACATATTGGGGCCTTCAACGTATATGTACCCTATGACAAATTAGCCAGCAGGTTTCCTTCGCTGAGACAATAGAATCTCGTACCATTGATGTATGCTGTGTCTCCGAAACATGAATGCAGGATCCTAGTGTGGTCATCCACTTCGTCTCAGCTTGCCGAAACCAGGAGCCGATGGGAGATACCCTCTTGTTATCTGGCGACTCGACGGCACCGGCTCGTCATCATTCACTTCATCCAGGCTGCAGTCAGTTGAAGCGTAGGCAGAAATGACGAAAAGGCAACGGTGTGTGTCCCTATCCTTTCGAGTTCATACGGAGCCGTTCAGCCGAACAACACATAGGCGACTGTTAACGGGGATCTATTCTAATAATGCTTGTTCTGCCCTCGTACTTAGACTGGTGAATGCAGACAGCACTAAGTATGAGGGCAGAACAAGCACTATTGGAATAGATCCTCGTTAACAGTCACCTATGTGTTGTTCGGCTAAACGGCTCCGTATGAACTCGGAAGGATAGGGACAAACATCGTCGCCTTTTCGTCATTTCTGCCTACGCTTCAACTGACTGCAGCCTGGATGAAGTGAATGATGACTTTTACAGAAAGTATTCCGAACTTCAGAAAGCTAAACGTTCAGACATAGTACTTGTAGCAAGTGACGTTAATGCACCTATAGGTAGCTTATACCAAAGAGAAAGACATTTAGGTGGGTATTTTAATATTCTGGCTCAGTGAAAAGATAATGATGACCGTCTCCTGCAACTATGCTCAGACAATCGTTTGTTTTTAGCAAGCACTAATTTTAAGCATAAGGAAAGACACCATCTGACATGGCGACGACCTGCATTAAAGGAACTATGGACTCAATTAGACCATATTGCCATCAGTCATCGTTAGAGAGGCTCAAAAGAAGACTATCGCTCGTTCTGGAATACATGTTTAGACTGTGGTCACTCTCTAATACGAACATGCATTTGCTTGCACCTCACTGAACGCATAAAAGCTATATCAATGAAACCTATTAGAATTGAACTCATTGACGAGGCTGACACAGACGTTGCTTGGAAAGATATACGAACAGATGTGTAAACGGCAGCGACGTCTATTAGTGATTTGAGCCAAGGATATGCGAAAGTCAGTGGAATTCCGAAACATCTATTGTACTGATGGATTTTCGTAAGCTCATCCCATCAGGCTCTGAACACAAAGAAGTGCGAAAACAAATCTGATCTAGGTGAACCAAAGGTCTAAGGAACGACCGTGAACATTGTTGGGCAACGAAGATGATAAAGACATCTGTTGTAGGTAGAACAAGATAGCTTTTCAGACTAATAAAAGAAACTGGAATTAATAAGTCAAGTATAAGTGAGACTATCTCTGAAAAAGATAACACTCTTATCTGCTCTCATTCCAGACGTTTAGAACGATAGGAAGAAAATTTTAAGAAGTCCAGCTGGCCTTCAGCTGTTCTACAACTACCCACCATTCACAGACAGTGTGAATGAAACGTTGAAGTAGGTCCTCCAACTCTAGCCGAAGTTCAGAAAGCTTTAGTTAATCTAACAGGAGTATTTCGAGAGGGATGGCGAAGCCACCACACTCTCGGCCATACCAGGGATTCCGAAAAGCTCGTTTGGCTTTTACCAAATTACGTCACCTATGGCAAAGGCGAGATATCTGTCTATCAATTAACGGACAAGTATACTACTCGGCAGTTTGTTCTGTTCTAATTTACGGCTACGAAACGTGGCCATTAAGAGTAGAAGATACTCGTAAGTTACTAGTATTTGACCACAGATGCTTTAGAAATATTGCTGGTATATGCAGGGATCACCGGGTAAGTAATAGTGAGGTTAGACACAGGGTATTAGGGAATGATGGTAAATCAGTTGATGAGGTTATGAATCTTGATCGACTGAGATGGTTGTGCCACGTGCTGCGTATGCCTGAGCACCGATTGCCACGACACGCAATGCTGACTAGTGTTGGGGATGGCTGGAAGAAAGTTAGGGGCGGCCAAACCAAAACGTGGCATCAGTGCTTGAAGTCAATAACTTCTAGTCTGAGCCATGTTGGTAGATGCAGACTACATGGTTGGGGTTTGTGTGACTATCGTAACCAATGGTTGGAGATTCTTGGTGACATGGCTTAGAATCGATCACAATGGCGTTTGTGTATACATTCTCTGTCTTTCCTTAAACTAAGAGATTAAAATCGCTTCATATCTTTCTTTCTACGAACTAATTCTTTCTTCCTGTACTATCTCCTTATATGCGATCTTTTTTCTATATATTACCACCACTGAATTAGCTACTTCTATGAATCCGGTGTTCATCTTGCTATGGTAATGAGGTATATATATATATATATATATATATATATATATATATATATATATATATATATATATATATATAATTGGCTTGGATTCTTATCCATCTGATGCATCTACTCTGTTTCGTTAATACTTTTGACTGAATTATGATCACTCTTAGTTGATATTTGTGGATTCTCTTCAAATTGTCTCGAATTCATTGCCACACGTTGTTAGAATAGATGGAATGTGTTAGCAGTGTGATTTAGTTTGCACCTTTTGCTCTGTTTGGGATTCTTCTTCTGGATGTGCCTAGGTCTCAGTTAAGTGGAGGGAATCTTTATAGAATGTGCAGATGCCAACTAAGATTGATCAATTTTAGTTTGAATGTTTGAAGTATAATTGCAGGTTAGTTTTTTGCTTCTATGTGGTTTATTAGGTATTGGTATACAGATCTGAACTAATGACGACTTACTATTGTTTTAGACAGTATCGGATAACATTACTAACCATCGTATTGAGTATAACTTTTAGCTTGTTATATGAACTTACACGTGATCAATGCATTGCGCTTCTCTGGTGTTATAATAATAAGATGCTATGAATTAAGTTTGCTTACTAAAATTATTTACGGCTATTTCCTGTGTTTTGGAATATCAATTCATATATGTACGTTTAACATCATTTTGATTCTGTAGTAAAACAAAATATATTTCATCGTAATTCGCATATTTCTGACCAATATACAAAGATATTACTATTGAAGTTTTAATATGACATTAAATAAAAGTTTATTGATTTTCGAATTTTGTGCCAAAAAACAAAAGGTTTCTCTATTTTGATTGTGTTATTCCTTTTATTATACTTTTCTCGATATTTAGAAAATATGTGATAGGAATCATTATTCAAACTGCTGAAATGATTTAAATTTTTAAGTAATCTAAGTAAAATATCTTATTAGAAGCAAATGATCATTCAGTCAACAATAGGATGGTAAAACTATCCATAGGTATAATAGATATTTTAGAATATACAATGGAAGTTTTAATTGAGTGAATGCTTGTTTTAACGATTAAATAAATTAAATATTTATTGATGATTTTTCTTAGTTAACTAGTTTGCTTTTATTTATTATTTCTATTTTTATTACTGTTGTTACTATTGATTGTATCACGAAATTAATAGTTAATCAGTGTTTCAAAGAGTTAATACGTTAAACCTAACTTTTCTTTGTGAAAACTAGTAAAATAATTAACTAATTAACAGTTATTATAACAGTGATTGGTTTAGGAGGAGAAAACTAGAGACAGTCAAATGACAAAATATTACTAACCTATGAAATATTCTTCCAAAATCTTCAAACCAACAGGTTTATTCATGTTGAGGTTTGTATTATAATCTTTATCTTTGGTTGAAACTATTGTTTGAAATTATCCATAATCAGTTAAAATAGCTTCTGTACATTCATTCTAACCTTTCTTTAAATGTTGAGCTTATATTTATCCCATACTTTTATTCTTGTTTGTTCTTTTAAGTTATACTTCTTACATTGAGTTTGGTACTGCAATCGATATAACCTTCCTCTCATCTTGCTATCATCCTTCTTTCTTATTGTTTCAACGTTAGGTTTGACTTGGATCAATACAAACTCGTATTAGACCCTGCATTCTTCATAACCGACTACGTGATTAGTAATATATCTGTCATTTATATTTGGTAAATAAAGATGTAGTCATTCTAATTAGTGTGAATTCATTTGTCTAAATGTTTTTGTGGTAATCTTTAGTGTAATTTAAAGGAAGATAATTCTCATTGTATATTAAGAGAGTTGCTAATATCATAACTGGACGACTGATATAGTTCAATGCAAGAAAGAAGGCAAAGACTGTAAATATAAGCTTGTTAGGTCCCCGAAATAGATCAAAACGTAAGTCTGAATACTCTAAGCTCTACTCATATTAATCAATAGTCACATTTGAATAGATTGAACTGGGGTAGTTGTTAGCGGGATATAGACTGGATTGTGTTGGGACACACCAGTAGATCATTTCCTGACCAATCAGCGCTAGCGGAGACTTGGAGAAGACTCTAGAATCTTATGTAAAAACTATAAATATACTAACGTTTTTCCTATTTTGATTCCTACTTCCATTCAACCTTGTAATTTGAAATATAGTTACGTTTCTGTTTAAGCATGTTCTGATTTGGGTACTTGTCAAGTGAAGTAGTGTCCAAAAATATCAAACAATAAGAGTAGCTGGGTCGTAATAAGAGAAATTATTACACAAGTATTATACATTACTTGATCAATGATTTGTTGTATGAACACAATGCACCATATTATAAAATTAAACTACAGTAACCAACAAATGTAACTAAATCACTGATTTCATCTTTCTGGCAATTAAAGTATATGGAACAATACATAGTTTAGAATAGATAGATTGTGGCTAGCAGTGAAATTCAGGACTCACGTTTCGTCTTATTTTGGAACACGTCAGCTGCAAGATAATTCAAATAATATATAGTTGTTTCAGATTGCTTTTTATTGACATTATGTTACGTATAAAATTCTTTATGTATGGTATTTTGAATGGTTATTTAAAATTTGTCATTTTTATATTATACTTTTACACTGATGTTGAATTATTATTCTTTTGAAATTCAAAATAACTAATTTTAGGCAACCAAAATTTTCAACTCTATCCGTACTGGACAAATGAAAAATGTACAAAAATTCGCCTACTTTATGGTTTTGGATTTCGAAGCAACTTGTGAAGAAGATAGAAAAATTTCAGTTGCTGTATGATAATAATTCATTTTTCTGTTCTTGTTAATGTTTACATTTTTCTGAATATTTTCCAATGATTGAGTTGTATATTTAAGAAATCTTGTATATTTACGTAGTAGGATGACAGTCAGTTTAGCTTGGATACATTTTATTGTGAAATCGATTTTAGCTTTATTCAACTCATTAGAACCATCTGTTGTCATTATAAATATTAGATGTAACTCATAACTTGGTATGGATCAATTTTGCAACAGATTCACGAAGTATATATTCATTATTCATACTTGTTCATTTGCATTTTCGATGTTTTTCTCAACACATGAACAAAATTAGTGCAAATTATATGTAAATAAATTTCATATTTACTTTACAGCTCAATCATTATCTCTTTTCAACAGATTTATTACAATTGGCTTTAATCGCTAATGTTTAACAAACAGTTACGTGTTTAAAATGCTAAGTATTTCTACTTTCTATTAGACATCTGAGGAGATATCTTGAAGATGTTTTGCTTATTTTCTAAAACTGTATTTCTTGATAACTTTCTGCTAGATTTACTTTATTCCTCTATATCTGACAAGATATATTTTTAGTAAATACAGGTAACTGAAAATCTTTTGAGAATCTCAAGCACTCACTTTGTTCAATATTATATACGCGAAATTGATTGTAAAGAAAGTGGGTTTTTTGTTATAGGTTGGTACCGGTTAAACTGTGTGTTAACAAGAGGTTACTGGAAATTTTTTTCGTATTAATGTCATTCATCATGTCTGTCGATTGCGTATTATTTTGACCGTCATGTTTCTAGCTCTTGCATATAGTATTGAAATAACTTGTACACAATAACTCTTTCATTAAAAAAATGTAACAGCAAGTGAATAACTTCTCTGAAGGGTTCGGTCAAATGAGTTTATTTGGTCTTTTTCAGCTTAAAGACAGCAGTGTATTTTACATGATTGCTATTGTTTGTCCTACTTGTGTATACCGTGCCCCAGGAGCGTGTGTTGATGCGGTACCTCTGATATCTTCATTACAAGACAAAATTCAACCCAGAATATCTTCATATATTCTTTGTACATTAGTTGATAAGCTTTATTACATGATATTAGAAATGACCGAAATCTTATTGTGTTTATTTAATCACTACCCTCTTATTCAGATTATAGACAAAAACTGGGTCTTACAGCCAAACCACTTAATCTACAAGATACTGAGTGACTTAAGATATCAATTCCCTTAAATCTACATTTTGGAATCATATTCGTTTTTCTGTCAATAAATTGGAATCATAATTGCGTGAGAATCCTATTCTTCCTGAATAGTATTCTTATCTTAATGTAGGTTCATTTAGGGATTTAAGCTAACAATTTGGTCTCGTGAACAACTATCATTCAGCTACATGATATCAATCCATTTGATCTATTGATCAGCTCATTTTATTCATTTGTTTCAACACTTCAGAACTCATCCTTCTCCATAATAACTTTCTAGCCAATATTTGTCTGTTTTAAATCTTAACAATGTGTTATGTCTTTCATACTGTGTTTTGTGTCAAGTTTGTGTTCAAACAAATAAGCATTGTTTTAGCTAAATAAATTGTACGAGCCATAAAAATTTTATTAATCCAGATGCTTTTAGCTAGAAGATCAAAGCAACAGTAGAACTTCGTTTGGACCTATGATTCTACAATTCATATTCCAACTTTCCAACTGTAGATTAACATTCATCAATGTCGCTAGTTCTTAGTTAACTCATTTTTTGATATTATTGTTTCTCAACTTTGGTCCATCAATATAAATTTTATGTGTAGCATGAAATATTTACAGATTCTGGCAAAATATTTCACTCATTATTTTCTCGACGTTGGAATTATTTGGATTTTGTCTTTACTCTCATAGTTGAGGAATATTTTTTTCTTCATGTTTTTAGGAAATTATCGAATTCCCCGTTCTCATGATAAATGCTTCTACATTGCAAACCGAGGCTATTTTCCATCGCTATGTTCGTCCTACTGTTAATCCAACATTAAGCGATTTTTGTACGGAAGTAAGTAGAATTTGAAAAACTTGCTTTTTTTCTTGATAAAGCTCCAATTGAAGGATCGTAGTGTAGGAATCTATCTCTCATATGAAATACTGACTAGTCAGTTACTCATAATGACTTCTGTTACTCTAGCTAAATCGCTAATTAAGACAGTTAATATAGTTTTTCACAACGCTTCAAGTTGGCTTCAGCCTTCTTTTTTATCTCCTGCAACGGGTTAATAACGACGCGCTGAAAAGTATTGCAATATTGAAAGACTGGTAATAAATAATGTACTAATTATTTGACAATAATCAGTTTGGTATGGCCAGTACTTCGTCTAAAGTTAGCCGAATATCTTAAGAATTGTTATAAATTGAAAAAAAATTTCACGACTTAAAAACGAATTTCTTACTTTTCTTGTTTTCAAATCAAAGTTAGGTGCTTATACTGGCCTAAAACATTGCATACTATCATCATATTTACAGGTTCTATAATTTGCAAAGTTGTCGTTGTTGTGTTTCTCATACACACTATAAGTCAATGTATATTTTATGACAATTATTTCTCATTTTTCCTATCATATATAAGACAATTTGTCGATAAAGTTAATTGATGTAAATATTTTTTTCCAAGATGATAATTTTCTTCATCGATGACTTTCTGAAAATATCTGTTAGATTGCAGCCAATTCATTTTCTACTGTTAAATAATTCATATTAATGATTACTAAACTTAATTAATTTAAAGATTTACAATATTCAATCATATTGTGATTATTTTTTAAATATTGCTAATTATTTATAAATCCGCCAAAATTAAATTATCAATTCAATATAGATTTTTAATGAAGCCATACTTCTACAAAATTTTACATCAACAAACATGTATCGTACATTATTTATCGTATTACATCATTCAATATATCAATCAAATTTATTGATGATTTAAATTCCTATAATTCTTTATTTCAACATGCTTTTTCAACAACAAAAAAACTTTTTGAATTAATACTATCACTAAATACATAGGATTTTCATTATTTTTCAGAATAATTTAACTTATTTTATAAAAAAGTTTTATCAATAAAATTTAGTCAAATGATAATACAGACGTGAAATCTACTTTCATACTGATTAAATAAAAATATGTAATTAATTATAAGGAAATAAATCCCGGAGAATTCCTCGTCGTGCATTATTTGCCAACGCTGGGACTGATTGGAAAAAGCGGAGAGGTGGTCAGTGTATGACATGGTGTCCTGGTATGAAAGAAAGCTGCACAAGACTGGCATCTGTTGGTCCTTCACGGCTCCCTGGTTGGGGTTCTAGAGATGGTGCAACACAGTGGCTAAGGACGTTGTCAGATATGGCTCAGAATAGAAGTCTGTGGCAATCCTACTGTAACATTCTTTTGCTTTCTTCATAAGAAGTGGCTGTAAATTCTTTAACTGAAAGGATTCTTTCAAGTTGTGCCTTTGTGTTTCTCCCATTATTATTGTTATTTCACTACCATACACTAATTTGCGATCGTTCTTGTTCCTTTTTTTTACGCACCTTACATTCTTTATCTGTTCCCATTCTCATTGTTATTGTGTGGCGCATATGTATCTTGTGCCCCCTTGTAACAATACTTATGTGTTCAAATAAAATAAAAATAAATAGGTAACATGTTTCAAAGTTCATTATGATGATACATGTATACTTATTCTTTATTATTTTGTGATAAATTAATAAATACTTTTAACTATTACATTTATCTTGTTAAATTAAGGTTTTTCTCTATGTCAAACACTAATTGTATTCAGTTGTCATGATTTATTTTCTTATTTTCCTGTAAATTATAATTATAGTTATTCAATGTCGAAATATAATCGTTTTTAAATTTCACCTCATAGCTTACTGGTATAATACAATCCATGGTAGACGATCAACCGGATTTACCGACTGTACTCAAAGTAAGCAGACATAAATATATATATATATATATATATATATATATATATATATATATATACTCACAAGTTACGTATTCATATACTTGAATTCCATTCAAATTTGAAACTTGATAGTTGTTAATGCTACCCGGTTACGCAAACCGAAGTAGATGGAGCAGGGTTCGAACCTGAGGCTTAGTTGCTAAGATTAAAGCCCTTTTAACCACTGAGCTACCTCTCCATATATATATATGCCTAAAGCTAATTTTAATTTATCTTAATAAAATTTTAATGAAACCACGAAAACTAATTCTAATGCTTCCATTTTCTTGTGGTTGAATATTTGTGTTTAGCATAAATGTCGTTAATGTTAGTGAGAAATCATGTGTTTATGTTATTTGTTGTTTGTTCTATAAACTATATATTTTTTTCTTTAAGACATAATTAGGCAGTATGTTATATTTTTATCTTTTCAAAAATAAGGTTGTCAGAATAAGACATTATGATTGGTCATATCATAATGATTTTTGTAATTTACCAATACTTTGCTATTATTCATATATCTGTGATTAATTTCAAAGTCTGCATCATAGAATGTTCTTAGTTGAAAAACTAATAGTTACTGGGAAACACTAGGGAGCTGTTTTTTTTCGTAGTATTGAATTCCTGAACAGTATGCACTCACGATTCCACCGTGGATCGAACCCAGGAACTTTAGGTCTCTTAGTGAATCCTTCACCTTCAAATCACTGACTTGGCATCCAGTGATTTATATGTTAGTCGCAATCAATTCGCGATACTTTTTACTGCTATTGATGATACTTGTGGTTTTATAACTTAGACCAGTTCGTGATCCAAACTATGAGATTCAGCAATTTCTTGAACACCTCATAATATGAATAATTAATTAATCATTTCTTTTTTTCAGATGTTTGATTCATTTTTAGATAGGAATAATTTAAAGATAATTCCGTATCAGTTTGCTTTTGTGACGTGTGGTGACTGCGATTTAAAAACAATGTAAGCGACATAACGTTCTTTCGGTAAATTGTCATAACACATATCAGATAGTATTCAAATGTAATATTTTAAATCTAAAAATTTCTACACTGATACATCAAACAACTAGAAACAGTAAAGATGGAATTTATGTTGTTAACTCAATAAATACATTAAGTTACATGAAAGTTTCAAGGGAACTTAGGAAATACTTTCAGGGAATTTGTAAAATATTGACGGCCGTTATGGAAATAGTACACTAAGGAAAACTTCTTTCAAAGTGGATTATGTTCTCCAGAGAGGCCTTTGAAGAGTGCAGGGATATTATAAAGCTTTAAACATAGCAGCAGTCTCTGCATCAGTAGGCCTCAAAATACACAAAGAGAAAGCCAAGGTCCTCAAACACAACACGGAGAACAGCAGTCCAATCACTCTTGATGGCGAAACTCTGGAAGATGTGGAATCCTTCACATACCTGGGAAGCATCGTCGATAAACAAGGAGGTTCAGATGCAGACGTCAAGGCGAGGATTGGCAAAGCTAGAGCGGCATTCCTTCAACTGAAGAACATATGGAACTCAAAACAACTTTCAACCAATATCAAAGTCAGAATCTTCAATACCAACGTCAAGGCAATTCTACTGGACGGAGCTGAAACATGGAGAACTACAACAACCACCATCAAGAAGGTACAGGTATTTATCAATAGCTGTCTACGCATGATACTCAACATCCATTGACCTGATACCATCAGCAACAGCCTTTTGTGGGAGAGAACCAACCAGCTTCCAGCTGAAGAGAAAATTAGGAAAAGACGATGGAAATGGATAGGACATACATTGAGGAAATCATCAAACTGCATTACGAGACAAGCGCTGACTTGGAATCCTGAAGGGAAGCGGAAAAGAGGAAGGCCAAAGAACACATTACGTCAGGAAATGGAAGCAGATATGAAAAAGATGAATAAGAACTGGAAAGAGCTTGAAAGGATTGCCCAGGACAGGGTTGGATGGAGAATGCTGGTGAGCGGCCTATGCTCCTTCACGAGGAATAACAGGCGTAAGTAAGTAAGTAAGTACAGAGTTCTGTCATAAAATATGAAAACCATACATTAAATACATTTGCACATCTTCAATCACTTGTACTTGACATGCTTGATGATTCTTTCAATTCTGTTGTTATTACAATTTCTTTCTGTTTACCTTTTTGTCATCTCCAACTGAATCTTCTCAATCTTCTACAGGCATGCATTCTACTTCCGATTAGTGTTACATACTACTTATATCAGTCAAAATGACTAGCTTACACCACGGTTCTACCTACTTGTTTTTCTGATGAACTTTAATTGGAATATTTAAGTCTTTTTAAATCAAATATCTGTTTAAAAAATTTCTATTTTTCTGATAATCTGTTACACTTTTGCATATATATATATATATATATATATATATATATATATATATATATATATATATGGACTGTGATACTGCTCGGGTGTCCAGACTGAACCCTGTGGTTTTCATAAGGGTCAACACCCTTAGCTTTCAACCTAAACGTCTGGTCCATAAGGACGAGGAGTAACGTCAGAAGATGTAGTCCCATGGTCGCCGTTATTATTTATTTATTTGAACACATGAATATTGGTACAGGGGGGCACCAAATATATATGCGCCACACAAAACAATGATAATTTGAAGAGAAGGGGAAAAGAGAGAAAAAAAAAGTAATGAACGTGGGGAATTATGAAAAAAAAGAGAGAGAGAACAATGGTGGGGGAAACGGAGAGGTACAATCAGAAGAGATCTTTCAGTTAAGGAAGATACAACCACTTTTTATGAAGAAAGTAAAAGAAGGTTACAGCAGGATCGCCACTGGCTTCTATTCTGAGCCATATCTGATAACGTCTCTAGCCACTGCGTTACACCCTCTCTCGGACCCCAACCAGGGAGTCGTGAAGGTCCAACAGAAGCTAGCCCTTTGCAGCTTTCTTTCATACCACGACACCATGTCATACACTGACCACCTCTCCGCTTTTTCCAACCAGTCCCAGAGTCGGCAAATAATGTACGACGAGGAATTCTCTGGGACAACATTCGTAGAACATGTCCAAGCCACCGAAGTCGGTGTTTCAAGATGGTGACACCAATTTCATTATCGTCTCTGTGACCAAACACTCGATGCCGAACCTCTGCATTACTGACATGGTGTTGCCACTGGATGCCAGCAATCCTTCGGAGACAGCGATGATCGAACACAGAGAGTCGTCTAACATCCTCAACTCGGAGAGGCCAGGTTTCACAAGCATAGAGCAAAACTGCTCTCACCGTCGCGTTGTAGATCCGACCTTTTACAGCCAGACTAACATCACGAAGGCGCCAAAGATGGCCCAGATTGGCATAAGCCGCTCTGGCTTTCACTATACGTGCATTGATCTCATCACTCACACCACCACCAGCACTTATGCAGCTACCTAGATACACGAGTCTCTTGACTACTTCTATCTGCTCACCATCCAGAGTGAGTACAGGATTAGAATCCTGCCAGTCTTGTAGGAGTACTTTGCACTTCGGAGGTGCGAAGCACGTACCATACCTACGGACACTGATTGCCAACCGATTAAGTGCGGATTGCATGGCTTGGGCATTCTCGCACAGTAAGACAATATCATCCGCATACTCAAGGTCTAGAAGTCTTTCTCCAGGCAACAGATCCACACCACCATTACTTACATCCATCAGAGCTGTTTCCAGAATGTCATCGATGGCAAAGTTGAAGAGGAATGGTGAGATTGGGCAACCCTGCCTAACCCCACTGCTCGAATGAAATAGTGGAGAAAGGTAGTTGTATGCCTTCACTCTGCCTGAGGTGTTTGTGTATAGGGCTTTTAGGATGTTAATAAACTTCTCAGGCACACCCTTCTTCAATAGACAATCCCAGAGAACAGTTCTGTTCAACGAATCGAAGGCAGCCCTGATATCAAGAAACACTACGATTGTTGGGCTTTGATAAGTATGGCGGTGTTCTAACACTTGGCGGAGGGTGAAGATATGATCAATACATTCTCGACCAGAACGAAACCCAGCCTGCTCCTCGCGAGTCAATCCTTCTCGGGTTCTGAACAACCTACGAAGTATGACGGAAGCCAATAGCTTGGACGCACTCGGAAGTAGACTTATCCCCCGATAGTTGTTACAGGAACGACGTGAACCCTTTTTAAAGATAGGGACAACTATCGACTCATTCCATGACGTTGGTACACACTCTAGTTCCCAGACCTTTGTAAACAACGTCGTCAGTCCCTTAGTCAGAAAGTCACCACCATCTTTAAAAGGCGCCGGAGGTAAGTCGTCTGGGCCCGGTGATTTGTAACGTTTCAAGAGTTGGAGTTCCTTGCGGATTGTGCCGAAAGTTAGTACTAGCCAGAAACAGGTTGTGGTCTGTGCATAGTTGCAGTAGACGTTCCCCGTTATCTGTCCTGCGACCAACGAGTCCCCATCGGCCACCTAAACGACTCTCTTCTGTGCCTAGACGCTCGACCTGAGCATTCAAGTCTCCAGCTAGTACTACAATATCTGTCGAACGTACTTTCTGGAGAAGAACAGTTAGCTGGTGGTAGAACTCGTCCTTGATTGCATCCGGGCTGCAATCTGTCGGGGCATAGGCGGAGATGACGAAAAGACACCGTTTCTCACGCCGATTTCTTCTCACTTTGATGGAACTTTCTAATCTAACAGCACATAACCGACTGTTAATGGGGATCCAGTCGACTAGTGCTGCCTCAGCTCTAGCGCTTAGTGCGATACCGACACCAGCAAGACCAGACGAAGATGCCACAGGGTCCCCGGATAAACGCATATAAAACAAGCTTTTTGAAGCGACAGATGTAGAGCGAACTTGTAGTACTTCACCAGAGTCTTGAATACTGGTCTCGGATAGACAACACACATCAATATTAAGACTTTCCAAAGACATAGCCAGCCCTATCTGTTGTCCGACCTGCATAAGTGTGCGAACGTTGAAGGCAGCCAGTTTGAATGGTGTACGTGGTTTCAGAAAAACTGCTTCAGTATTCGTATTTGGTGGTAGCATACAGTTTTCAACCAGGCAGTGACTCGAGAACGTTTAGATAAAGCTGAATTTTTACCATAGGCGAGCTGCTGTCTGAGTCGAAACGGATACGAAAAGTAGAAATAGGAGATAGTGAATAAATGACGTAGTAAATAATAATAATAATGATAGTAATAATAATACCAGTCATTTCAATGTTAGTCTGAGAGAAACGAATATTTTCTATTAGCAGATAGTTCATCATGGTTTTAGTGTGTGGGCTGAGATACTGCCTGGGTGCCCAAACCGAAGCAGGTGGTTTTCTTAGGGGGCCACACCATGAGCCTTTGACCTAAAGGTCTAGTCCACAAGGCAGTGAAGCATCTTGAGGAGATGCAGTCCCATGGAAGCCGGTGACCAAAAGTTGGTTCATACGCCATTTGTTCCCGCAGGATACTGGAGCCCATGTGCACCATAGAATTGGGATCCGGTCATAGCGCCGGACATTCGCTTTTCGTCCTCTCATTTTCGTAAACAACACCCTCGCCACGAGAAGGCAGTGAGTAGGACTTCCCTGGCGGAGGCTTTATACGCGTGGCCGTGTGAGAGTATTTCGAGAGGGAGGGCGAACCCTCCCCGCTCTAGGGCATACCAGGGCATTTGGGGGCATGGTCGCCGTTTATCAACGATAGGTTTATCCGCCATTTGCTCCTTTAGAATCCTAGAACCTATGTGAACCATTGGCTTGGAATCAGGGTTTTCCAAATCTTCTAAGTGGATCCTCCATATTCACCATCCCGGTTAATGCGCCGAACATTCACTTTCCGTCCTCTCAATTTCTTAAACAACACCCCAGCCTGAGAAGGTAGTGAGTAGGACTTCTCTGGAAGTGTCTGTATACGCGTAACCACTTGAGAGCATTTCGAGAGTTAGAGCTGACTTTTAGCACCCTCCGCCGTACCTGGGCTTTCGGGG